TTACAATTATATATATATATATACATATTACAATTATATAAATACATGCTATTTTAAATATTAGTCACACTTTGCAATAAGATTCAATTTATTATTTTAATAAAAAACTCGTGTTTTTATTATTCATTTAGGTTAATGTTAATTTTATGAATATTAGTCATTGTTTTTTCATGTTTGTTCATAACACATTAAGTAATATTCATTTATACAACTTGAAATGTAAAACTAATAGAAAATAAACTAATACTTAATACTTCTACACTAAATATGGTTACAGTAGTTCAGTGTCAACAAATTTAACTTTTCAACTTAATTTTTTTAAATAATACGTATAATATTTAAATTTTATGAAGATAACATTTTTATGTAGTCATATATTTGTTGCAATGCTGAAAATAATTTATTTTCCAGACCTTCCCTGTTTTAAGTACAAACATCACTAAATTTTGAGATTTATGCTTAATTTTTTGTAAGTCTTAATATCTTTATATATATATATATATATATATATATATATATAAAACTTGGCACCACAATCTGATCTAGAAAAGCTCTCCCTTGGCCCAGGTAAACACATTGATGATAAAATGCATGCTGACCAAGTCTATGAACACAGACATTTAGCACGTACACAAAAATACTGATCAAGTAAATTAATTTTTAGGAGTGTTTTGAAAGATTATTAAACTTAAAAAATCATTCATGTAATGAAGAGAATTACCTTAAGACAATTAAAGAACTTAATTCTCGTTTGTGCGCATTTAAATGTGTATTACTATTATTGATGTATTTTGGGTTATTTATTATAATAAATGCACTTCTAGATTATTTACCCTTTTGTATTTTCTTTTGTCTTGTTTGTTTTATGAGACATTCATTGTGGTTGTTGTGATCTCGCAGGCTCTTCCTGCAGTCATGCTGGGGCTGGACCTGTGTATTATGTGGCTCTTTCATCTTTCTTCTCTCATACTGCATCAGTAACTCTTTCATACACTCAGTCCGTCACCTCTCTCGACTTCTTGTGGCCGGGACGCTGTGGACACTGTTCCGCCGTCTTCTGTCCTTTCTAGTGGACGCCTCTGGAAGCTGTTTTGAGCCACTACAAGGCCCCACAGAAGTCCACAGGAACCCCGGGGCGCTCCTGGACTCTGATACAGGCCCCTTATTACTACTGAGAGAGGAAAAGGGTAAAGCAGCCTGTCTCAAGGCCGGGCTACAGTGGCAGGGATGTGAGGTGTCGGATGACATCCTCATTCTGAGTTTATGTTGTTTGATTCTTGCTGAAGAAATAGCAGTTTTTGGGCCCTGCATGGCTCTAGGAAAGACTGTAGGGGGGTCACTGAGGATAATCTTCCTGTTATGTGTGTTATTGTTGGGTCTCTGGATCTTCCTGATCCTCTGCTTGCTAGCGCACTTCCCGCTGTTCCCTTCCCAGCTGGTTGGAGGAGCTCTGGGGTATCTGGGATGGAAGGGCCTTTATTATAAGGGCTGGTGTGTTTTAAAGCCCGGCTGGTGCTGTCTTGGAAAACCAAAAGCTTTGCTTTCGGATAGCATATGCAATATGGGACATGGATGTTAAGGAAATGAGAAACAGAATATATAAAATGTACAACTTTTGTGTCAAGGGGGTTTCAGAGTCAAAAAAATATGCATACCTTTAATTAGATGCATGAGTTTGGGGTCGACAGGATTATTTACGTTTCTGAAAGAAGCCTCTTATGCTCACTAAGGCTACATTTATTTGATCAAAAATACTGTCAAATAGTAATATTGTGAAATATTATTACAATTTAAAATAGCTGTTTCCTATTTTAATATATTTTCAAATATTAATTTATTCCTGTGATGGCAAAGCTGAATTTTCAGCAGTCATTACTCCATTACTACAACTTTTTGTAACATTATAAATGTCTTTCCCGCCTCTGTTGATCAGTGATGTGTGTCCATGCCAAATAAAAGTATGAATTTCTTTAAAAAAAAAATCTTACTGACCCCAAGCTTTTGAATGGTAATGTAATTTAACATTATTAAAGTAAAATAAATAAATAAATGTGCATGAAAAACAGTCTCTGCATATTCTGCTACAAACTTTTGTTAAAAAGGAAGATAAATTACATATTATTTGTTAATTTAATCTATTAATTGTTTTTTATTCATATTTTTGTGGAAACCATGATACATTTTTTTCAAGATTATTTGATGAATAGAAGGTTCAAAAGAACAGCAAATCTTTTGTAACATTATAAATGTCTTAACATTTGATCAATTTTTTGCATCCTTGTTGAATAAAATAATTAATTTCTGATCTAAAATCGTACTGACAATTTTGAGTAGTAGCATATATGAAAAATTAAGTAGTTATATTCCTCTTTTGTCCGACTGTAATAATTATTAAGGATAATAAAACTAATGTTTTGACATTTTGAATAAAACATGAGTGATACCACATTTAGATAAACTATTTATTGAGTAAAAGCCGTACTACAGTAGGTTCTGTTGATGTAATTGAAGCTCGAGTCAATGCGCTGTGACCGCGCATCTGAAACTCAATACGACATGTTTTTACTTTTCTGCAAATGTGTGTTTGTGCGTCTTTTCAGTGCAGATCAGCTGCTGTACTCAGTAGATAAGTGCCTTTGAAGATAAGTCTCCTCTGGGCTTCTTAATCTTGTTAAAATTCTTGGTGATGACATCATACAGCACGGCCTAGAGTTGAACGAATGGATGAAATCAGACACGTCTCAACCAGCATCCATTCAAATCAGAATTGCAGCACTGAGATGTTTTGTTTAGGGTAAGTTGAGACTGAACTCACATAAGTGTTGCGAATCTCCAGGACTATGATGCGTAACTCACAGTACTGGTGCTGATCCAGTTCATGGACAAGCTGCCTGAAATCTCCCTGTTGCCAAGCAACAAAACAATCAAATGATCAGAAGCTCAAAGGTTTTGTAAGCATGTAAACAGTGGTTTAATTCAGATAAAGTGAACACCAAACAAACTGACCACATGTGGCTGTTTGGAAGCCTTGGCTACAGCATCTCCTCTCTCACTGTAGTACCTGAGGAAACAGAAACATGTCACAACTGCGTGTTCATGTCTAAAAAAATGAAATGATTAAAAAATAATAAAATATCAAATAAAATTATGTAAATAACTATGAATGTGTTCATAATGAAGACATCAAGAGGTTAGTGTTTGACTGTGTTTGTAATGCAGTCTGGACTCTTACTTGGAAATCTGTGTCTGGAATCCCTCGATCTTGGTGCGGGTGTTGGTAAACAGTTCAAAAACTTTTTCCTGTTGGAGCATTTTTGCTTTTATATAACTTACTACTATTAAATTATATATACAACACCGTTCAAAAATTTGAGGACAGAGAGATTTTTTAAAATAATTTTGAATAAAGTCTCTAATGCTCACCAAGGCTGTATTTATTTGATCAAAATACTAATATTGTGAGATATTTTTACAATTTAAAATAACTGTTTTCTATTTCAGTATATTTTCAAATGTAACGTATTCCTGTGATGCAAAGCTCATTACTCCAATTTTCAGTGTCACATGATCCATCAGAAATCATTCAACAATCTGATTTTGGAGCTCAAGAAACATTTCTTATTATTACTAATGTTGAAAATTGATGTGCTGCTTAATATTTTCATGGAAACGGTGATATATTTTTTGAATAAATTCAGATTTTCTAAAAACAAACAAGTTTTGTAACGTTATATGTTTTTACTGCCTCTTTTGATCAGGGTAGTGTGTCCTTGTTGGGAAAAAAAAATTACTAACCCCAAACTTTTGAATGGTAATGTAATTTAACATTATAATTAATATTATTAAAGTAAAAACAATGCATGTGCATGGGTGAAAAACTGTCAAAAAGTAGCGTATATATATTTGCTACAATTGTCATCCACACAAATTTATAAAACTTGCACACATTGCACATCATTTTGATATAAAGTAATTGAGATAAACTACATATTAATCATTTGTCTTTTTTTTTTTTTGGAAGGTTTCATATTTTTTAAGTATCCCTAGTTGGAACTTTTTTTAAAACAACATATGTAATGCATAAATATGTATAAATTCTAATTTAAACTTAAACTTAAAAATTATTAATTTGACAAAAGTTATTTCATTCTGTCACAAGTAAACATGACTCCAGATACATTAACGGACCTGTACAGCAACTCCAAAGTTGTTCCCATCTTCAATTCTGGGAATCTGTAGCTGTATCCACATTGACACCTGCACAGGTGCGCAACACAAATATTATACAATGTACACAAAATGTCGTTGTACCAAAATGCTTTATTAAATGTATTGATGCCAACATACAGTATAAATTAAATTATTATAGAACCAGTTGAGCAATGACTTGTCAAAAATGTCAAACCCATCAAAAATGTTGTTTTTAACTTTTTCGACAAATGTAATTTAACCTCAGATCTGCATAATTAGCATACGCCAGCACTTCCTCACCGTGTTAAGACACTCCTTCAGAGTCTGAATCTCAGGCTTGATCTGTTTGATGAGTTTCTCTACTGTCTCATTGCAGGCGATGGGACCACAGGGAGGACCTTTCAGATCACAATCAGCATCATTAGTTTACATTTGTGCTCTTCAAATCACCACTTTGTAACCAGTCACCAGTTTGTAAGGACAGAGGATATAGACACACAATACTTTTTCAAAATCTTCTTTAGGGGTCTGTATCATTTCTATGACATTAACAGTGACTCAGTGCCCCCCTGTGTTCATGCTGTGAATTACACTTTTGGGGGAATTCAGGTCTAGGGAAAAGAGATCCAGACAAGTAACATTTTCAGTTTCATTTTCCAATTCCTTCTAAACATTTACCTTCATCCTCTTCTTCTTTATCTCCACCCTTCTTTCCCTCTTTGGCCTCTTTCTGTGAATAAAATGTCATTACTGGCCTTAAAGTCTAATCAATTACTTAAAGGGGTCCTATTATGCTTTTTCACTTTTAAAATTTTAGTCAGTGTGTAGTGTGTATGTTTGGGCATAAAAAAGATCTAGAAAGTTACAAATCTCAAAGTCCACTCCAAAGGGAGATATTTCGTTTTTTTAAAAATCCCTTTTTAAAGAACTACAACGAACGGCTCGTAGTCCATACAGCATTTGTTTTCCGGGCTTTGTGATATCACAAAGCGGCCCATTAGAATATCATTACAAAGAATTCCCGCCTACAGAAATTCGAATGGTTGGGGGGTGGGGAGGGGCGAGGTTGTGGTTAGAACGCTTGGTTGAGTGAGTGCATCAGACGAGACGACGAAGAAGAAGTGCTGCTGCAGAGTTAGTGCATCAGAGAAAACCAAGAAGAAGAGCTGCTGTGCTGTAGCGTCAAATTTTCGGCATGTCTAGAACAATTCTTACAAGTACAACACGACGTAGCTGGGCGCTGCGGACAGACGCCGAACGGCGCTGCCGTTGTGCCTACACTCATAGAAAATAATGTATTTGAATTTTAAAGATATGGCGCGGCGCAACGCGACGCTGCGCTTCTCGCCCAGTGTGCGACCGCCTGTAACGCTGTTTTTTTTCACCTCCGTGCCCAAATGCCTTTTGTTTGGGCTTCCGAAAGCGGATGATGTCACGAAACAGTGGTTGCAATTTATTTTTTAAACTCTGTCCATTATAACCCCAATTTGCTATTGTGTGCTGCGCATTTTACTGAGGACAGCTTCCACTACAAGAGGGAGGACAGTGCCTGCCGGATTCGCCAAAAAGCTTTTGTTGAAAGACGGAGCAAGGGGCGTGGCAGTACTGAAACACCGTCTAAGCTGTTCGCCAATCACAACGCACTGGGACAGCTAACCAATCACAACACATTTTGTTTTTCGGAAGGCGGACTTTCATCAAAGCCGGAACTAACGAGCCGTTTGTGCCAGGCTGCCAAGCATGAGGGCATGTTCTAGTACACCCCCAAAACAAAATCAAGACTTTGTAAAAGAGCATAATAGGACCCCTTTAAACCAAACCACAATACAGAGAATCTATTAATTTAAAAAGAAATGAATGTGAACAATTATGCTTGTTAATAATAAATCACGTGTTATGATTACCTCCTCTTTCTTCTTCCTCTTGAGCTCCTCTTTGGCCGGGTCTGGGATTGGGATGTCCAGAGGAGCCCTGATAACTGACAGATCTTTTAGACTACAGGAACTCTAAATAACACAAAAACAGAAATACAGTATTTCTTAACCGCAGCACAATCTCTACTCAATGAGTGTTAATGAATGCACCTGCTGTTTTCATATGATGAATGACTTCATACCTGTAAGATGTTGTCCATCTCTGCTATCTTCTCAGGGAAGAAGTTTGAGATCAACTGTTCGGCCTGTTCAAAACAAACATTTGACAGTTTAACGAACTTTCACTACAGTCATTGGTACTACTGGAAAATAGTAACATATTATTATTGGTTCTCATTCAAGCTGCTGTATGAAGCGTCCTTTCTTGTTGTTTTATTTTTAAAATTATAATAGTGTATAATGCGCAGTTTTATTGTAGTAACTATAATAACTGTGGTATTATTGGCATAAACTGTAATGACTGTGGTACATTTTTAAAAGTAATGAAAGAGCGTGACTGAATGAATGTATAATT